AAGCCGGAATCGCCGGTGCTGCCTTCCAAAGGGGCGTCTCGCTCCTCCAAAATGAGGTTCTTTTGCGGGGGGCTTCTTCCCGGTAGGTCAGTAGACAAAGAGGTGAAAAAGCAGGAAGCAAGTCCCTAAGAAACACTCAAAGGCAAATGGAGACAAGAAGGCACCTGTAAAGGTGACAAGGATTAAAGTAATCCCAGCACTTTGGGAAGCGGAGGCGAGAGGAGTGCCTGAGTCCGGGGGTTCGAGACCAGCCTAGGCAACTTGGCGAGACCTTCGTCTCTACAATAAATCAAAATTAGCCGGGCATGGTGGCGCACGCCTATGGTTCTGGCCACTTGGAAGGCTGAGGCGGAAGGATCGATCGCCTGAGTCCAGCAGGTCAAGGCCACGGGGGCAGTGAGCATGCCACTGCCCTCCTGCCTTGGCCACAGAGTGAGACTCCGACTCAAAAAAAAAAGAGAGAGAGAGAGAGAACCTGCGCCTCGCTGGTGTTCTCATCCTTTGGCAGGACAGTGTGACAGCCCTAAAAGCAAGAGAAATATCACATCCATTGATGGACAGTGCTGCACCTGGGAAGCGATGCTAAGGAAATGGGTTCAAAGACAATGACCAAGTGGGATCTATCGTGCCAAAATAAGCTAGAAGAAGAATGGACAAGGATGAGAATTGCTCACGAAATTATACCATGGCTACTGAAAAACTGTGATGCCATCCCAAATGAAGATGGGGTAACAACCTGGAAAATGCTCATGTTCTAATATATGAAAAACTAGAATACAAAATTGTATGCAGACAACAGCCCTAAGAAAATGAAGATGCACAGGAATAGGGCTAGGAAGAAGATAGGACTATGACACTGTGTTAGGCCAGTGAGATTTTTGTAATAAATAAAAAATGAGCCGGGAGCAGTGGCTCACGCCAGTAATCCCAGCACTTTGGGAGGCGGAGGCCAAAGTAAATCTCTACAGCAAGTCAAAAAAGTAGCCAAGCATGGTGGCTCATACCTGTAGTTTCAGCTACTTGGAAGACTGAAGCAGAAGGATCACCTGAACCCAGCAGGGTGAGGCTGCAGTGACCATGAGCGTGCCGGCCTGGACGACAGACAGAGTGAGACTCCAACTCAAAAAATAAAGTTAAATTAAATTTAAAATGATATAAAAAGGTAGGAGTTTCTTCAATAGCCCCTCTGACCCTTCAGGTAATTAAATTGAAAGGAGAAATTTTGACTTCTGGTCCAGTTTAGCTTTGAGATTTCAAAAGAAGAGGACCATATTATTTCACCACTTCATTTCAGACTTTTCCGGGGGGAGGGTCAGAGTCTCACTCCTTCACCCAGGCTGGAGTGCAGTATCACACTCACGGCCACCCCGACGTCGACCTGTTGGGTCCCAGCAATCCTTCCGCCTCAGTCTTTCAAGTAGCCGAAACTTCGGGTGCGCACTACCATGCCCAGCTAATATTTTTATTTATTGTAGAAACAAAGTCTCGCCAAGTTGCCCAGGCTAGTCTCGACCTGTGGGCTCAGGCAATCCACTTGCCTTGGCCTCCAAAGTGCTAGGATTATAGGCTGAGCCACTGAGCCTGGCTGGTTTCAGTTTTTAGATACACAGAAGGGATGAAGAATTCGTTGGAATGTTAGAGCTTTAACCCAGTTCAGTGAATTTTGCATATTTTGTTAATAAGCTTACCTAAGAGCTGTTTACAAGAGAAATATAAAATGTAGTTCATTCCTTTGGGAATTTACACTGCGGGAAAGGGGGAATAGTGAACCTTTTATAAGGGTTTTTAGTTGCAGACAATAGAAACCACTATAGCTTGGCTGGGTATGGTGGCTCATACCTGCAATCCCAGCACTTTGGGAGGTGGAGGCAAGAGGATTGCCTGAGCCCAGGATTTCAAGACCAACCTGGGCAACATGGCAAGACCTCATCTCTACAGTAAATCAAAAAATTAGCTGAGCATGGTGACTTGCACCTGTAGTCCCAGCTACTTGGAAGGCCAAGGCTTGCCTGAACCCAGCAGGTCCAGTCTGTGGTGGTCATGATTGTGCCATTGCACTCCAGCCTGGACAACAGAGTGAGACCCAGACTTGAAAGAAAGAAAGATGGGAGGCTGAGGCGAGTGGACTGCCTGAGCCCACGGGTTTGAGACCCACCCGGGCAACTTGGCAAGACCTCATTTCTACAATAAATCAAAAATTAGCCAGGCGTGGTAGCGCGTGTCTGTAGTTCTGGCTACTCAGAAGGCTGAGGCGGAAGGATCGCTGGAGCCCAGAGGTCAAGGCTGCGGTGGCTGGGCGACAGAGTGATATTCCAACTCAAAAAAAGAAAACGAAAGAAAGAAAGTAAGGAGGGAGGGAAGGAAAAATCACTGCAACTAAAGGGGTTTACAGGAGAGCTGGGGAGTTCAGGTCTTACACAGCCAGGATCCATGCAGCTATGAGAAACGCCTAATTGTGCAGCTCCATTGGGACCACTGCCTCTATCGCTTGGCTCTTAAGATGCCAGGGACCGAATAGTACAGCCCCCAGCATGGCTTTCCCCAAAGAACCAAACACATCTACCATCATGCCCTCTGTAATCTCTCTCACCACCTGTGGCCACTCATTCACGTTTACTGTGTCTGGCTTGGTGGAACCTAGTCCAACCTGCAAGAAGAATCTGGATAATGCCGTTTTTAGCCTTCCAGACTCTGGTACAGGTGCTGAGTGAGCCTGTCTGGAGAATCTGCCACAAACATCACGAACCATACACATATTGAGCCTCTATTCTGTGCAGTGGGCTCTAGGTCTTCAAAAAGGTCTGGGGTGTGATCTTTGCCTTCAAGGGTTGAGACTGGGCAGAGAACAAGGGAACATCTTCAAGATTGCTAACCAAATGTGTTCCAAGTGCCAATGAGCAACAGAGACACAGCCAAGAGGACAGACTCTGGGCCGTGGAGGGCAGCAGTGGCTTCTGGGCAGAAGCCACCCCAAAATGAACCTTGGTGAATGGTGGGTTTCGTGCCAAGAAGAAGAAGAAAGGGTACTTCTGCCAGTGGCGTGAGCATACACATAGTTCTCTCTTTTCAATTAGTGCTGTGTGTGCCATTGGACAAGTCACTTTCCATCTCTAGGACAGTGGTAGGCAGAGTAATGCCCCCTTGAGATGTCCACATCCTAATCCCCAGAAACTACAAATATGTTACCTTACATGGCCAAAGGGACTTTGCAGATGTGATTAAGCCTCAGATCTTGTGGGGAAATTATCCTAGATGAACCAAGTGGGCCCCATGTAATGATATGAGTCCTCACAAGGCAAAGCAGGAGGCAGGAGGGTCAGAGTCGGTGGAGATGTGACAACCATAGCAGAGGTCAGAGCGAGAGATCTGAAAATGCCACACTGATGGCCTTGACTATGAGGGGCTCTGAGCCAAGAGATGCAGGTGACCTTTAGAAGCTGGAGAAAGAAATGGCAAAGAAATGGATTCTCCCTGAGAACCTCCAAAAAGAACAGCCCTGCAGTTATCTTGAGTTTACGACTTATCTCCAGAACTGTAAGATAATAAATCCGAGGGGCCGGACTCGGTGGCTCAGCCTGTAACCCCGCGCCTTTGGGAGGCTGAGGTGAGTGGATTGCCTGGGCCCGCGGGTTCGAGACCCGCCTGGGCAACTTGGCGAGACCTCATCTCTACAATAAATCAAAAATCAGCCGGGCACGGTAGCGCGCACCTGTAATTCCGGCTACTCGGAAGGCTGAGGTGGAAGGATCACCTGAGCCCAGTGAGTCGAGGCTGCGGTGGCGGGGAGCGGCCACTGCACTCCAGTCTGGGCGACGGAGTGAAACTCCAACTCAAAAAAATAAATAAATAAAATAACTAATTAATTAATTAAACCGAGGGTTGAAGTCCCTATATTTGTAGTAATTTGTCTCAGCAGTAACAGGAAACAAACACAGGGAACCAAGTCCCTCATCTGAAAAATGACAGGTTGGCCAAGGGGACAAGTCTTTAAGAGCGGGCCAGTGGTATGCTGAGACCTGATCCCAAAATCCAAGACCGTTCTTTGTTGGCAGTGGGAGCAGGGCATTGTCTAAGTTAGGGGTGCATTTGGCTGCATGTAACAGAAACCCAACTTTAGTTGCTCAACCGCATAAGAGTACTTTTCCTAACACACCAAGAAGACGACCGTGGATGGGACAACAGCACCTTGGACCACCCTCTGGATATAGCTTTCCCCCTCATGCTCTCAAGATGTCTGCTGAGCCGGGCTTGGTGGCTCAGCCTGTAATCCCGCGCCTTTGGGAGGCTGAGGTGAGTGGATTGCCTGAGCCCGCGGGTTCGAGACCCGCCTGGGCAGCGAGACCTCATCTCTACAATAAATAAAAAAATCAGCTGGGTGTGGTAGCACGCGCCTGTAATTCCAGCTACTCGGAAGGCTGAGGCGGAAGGATCGCCGGAGCCCAGCAGGTCGAGGCTGCGGTGGCCGGGAGCGGCCACTGCACTCCAGTCTGGGTGACCGAGTGAGACTCCAACTCAAAAAAAAAAAAAAAAAAAAAGATGTCTGCTGCACCCCCTGGCATCATGACCACATTTCAAGCAGGAAGGAGAGGAAGGAAAAGAAAAAAAAATGCATGTGATACCTGAGTCATGTCCTTTATACCAGAAAAACAAAAGCCTCCCCAGAATCCTGATCCAGTAGACACCTGTTTGCATCTTCTGGGCCAGAGCTGGTCAAGTGGCACATTAACTGCAGCATGCAGGGGTGCATACTTCATCAACTGAGCTTTAGGCTGTTACATTTCCAGTAACAAATCATGCCTGAATTTCAGCTTAAACATGAACTCATTAATCCTCTGTTGCTCTACCAGACATCTGTATAATCC